CAATCAAATATTTCAAAAACTATTAATTTGCGACGGAAATGAAGTTGATATTCGTGTTCAGCGTATCAATATTTAGCAGAAATTGTTCCGCAGAAATTAGGCAACTGGTAGCTGAGTATGAGACGGGAGGGAAAGTAAAAAAATACCGTAACCAGTGTAAAACCCATTATTACCTGTACACAAAATTTTTGTTTATGAAATCCATTTGAGTCTGTTGAGAAACGTGAATCTTTACATGGCAATGTTTGCCCTGGTCTTGAAGGTATGGCACATCCCATTTCTGCATGCATGGTCCCAGATCGAAACCCCGCAAAATAGCAGGAGTCCTCCTGGGATATACCTCGTTCAGGAAGGTGTCTCTAGTGATGTTATCTACTACTTCAATCTCCATTGGACCATTTTTATCTAGATCAAGTGCAGAAAAGACAAAGAATAGAAGACTGTGAGAGGACAAGACTAAGACTAAGTGAAATAGTATCGAACGTCTCTGATCTGGATCAAACATCAAAATGAAAGGGTGTGACGTTTGATAACACACTGCAGTAAAAAAATAAATTTGAGACCCAGCTCGTCTTTTCGCATTTTCTTTTTTCTCTAGTTTTAGCCTATTTATTATCAAGAACAACTCATTTTTGTTGTTATTAAGCTAGTAAAAGAGTACACTGAATCTTTAATTTATACTTTTTTTTTTAAAGTATTAGACGCACAAGCAGTCAAGAAGCAGCAAAGTGCTTTTGAAATACAAGAGTTTCTGTGTTGCAATTTGATTATTAAAATTTTATTAACTTTTGTTTGTATTATAATCAGATACAGCTTCTCAAGAAAAGTAGCGAATCCGGCAACGATAATCTTTAACATCTTTAAAATTCCATAGATAAGGACAATGATTTAATAAACAGATTTAAGATGGCAACAGACTGCGAAAAATGAATCGGCCGAAGCAATAAGAAACAGTGACGAAAATGTTTTGTTCTGTTCACTTGTTTAACCTTTACGGGAATTATCCTTGTTTTTACAGTCTAACCCTTTCCCCGGCAACCCATTTATACCCCTTTAACCGACAACCTGGGTGTAACACACCCGTATATTATAAATAATATATGTATTAGTATAGGAAAATATTGACCCATCTTATTTTTGGCGACTGGATTTAATACACACAACTCTTGTTTGTTCGTTGAGCTCTTATTTAGTTCAAAGTACTGCTTGAGAGAGCCCATTGCTTCCCTCTCAGCCTTTCCTTGTGGCACGATTGCGAAGCAACAAGATGAATAAATAGTCTGCCTAAAAATGGTACGTTACTCCATTTACTCATCACGTCCTGTCACCAACAGATGCCTTTCTCTTATACAAAAAGAAAATGATGGATACTGTGGATGCAGTTGCTCCTGTGCAGCCAAGAAAAATGTCCCTGTGGGATACTAAAGTATTTTCTTATCTTATCTTATCTTATATTTTGAATTATATTATGCCACTTGGCAATCCGGGTTTTATTAAGTGATCATATTTTCTTTGCTTTTTAAGAAAAAAAAATGGAAGTGAGGGGTAAAAAAGAAGAGATGGGGGGGGTGGGGGTTCCATTTAATTTCGTCTTATTCCGCGTCTTAAGAATATCCCAATCACACCTGTTAAATAGTTAGACACTCCCTTACACCCTTCTTGATTCCAATCGTACTGACCATCTCTCCGGCGTTTGGGGTGTAGAAATTTTGGCGCTGTTTCACGCAGAAGACCCAAGTTCGATTCCTGAGCAGGGAGAAAAAGTTATCGGGATTCTCGGTGTTTTTGCTGGGATGTTCTATCCTTATTAAAATTTTATAATGATGGGGCCGTTAAACACCTACGTTTGAAAAAGAACATATCAAATAAGCTAAGATCTGAAGAGAGAGAGAGAGGGGGGGAGAGGAGAGAGAGAGGGGGGGAGAGAGGAGAGAGCGAGGAGAGAGAGAGGAGAGAGAGAGGAGAGAGAGAGGAGAGAGAGAGAGAGAGACAGAGACAGAGACAGAGAGACAAAGAGAGAGAGGGGGACAGAGAGAGAGAGGGGGGGGATAGAGAGAGAGAGAGAGGGGGGATAGATAGATAGAGAGAGAGAGAGAGAGAGAGAGAGAGAGAGAGAGAGAGAGAGAGGGAGGGAGATACATCAGGCATACCGGTATTGCTTTAGTCATCATCGACATCCATAGACAGCCGGGGCTGGCATACAGCCAGGGTTGCAGCCAGGGGGTGAAGAAGCCCGCCTCCTAGATAATCTAAATGTGAGGCATCGAGGGGAAATCAGAGGCTTGTCAAAATAATGAAATCTAAGAAACGGGCATTTTTCTGTCTTTAGGCAATTTTTATCGATTTTTTTTTTTAATTTAATTTTTTTTCGGGGGGGGGGGGGGGGGGGCTGAACCTCTTTTATGTCCATATAAAAACACACTTCCAGCTGAATTTTACTAGGAAAAAAAAAACAATGATTAGAGGCATAAAGTATGTCATTTTTCTTTTTTCAAAGACTCTTTAGCTATTGGAGTTAACCAAACTTTGGCGGCCATTTTCTCCCTTATTTCACCACTGAAAACCAGGTGACCTCACTTCCTTCAATCGCAAATATCTTGAGTTCTATTCAAGATAGATGGATATTTATTTCATTGGAAGCAAGGCAAATAAATCAGCTTTCTGATGATACCAACAACTCCACTTGCCCAAAAATTAAAGAGCGCCAGATTCCAACGTGTCGTGGCACAAATTGTGTCGATGGGGGAGTATAACAATGACTGTTGAAGGTAGTCAAGTGGGAAGCGGGCTACGTCACTTTTATTCTACCACGACTTGGCTTACTTCAAAGTTGTTGTAATTGGCGCTCATATGACCTTATGCAGTTGCGAACGCAATAAAACCTCTACTAAACTAAAACTAAAAGGTGTTGTAAACGTACTTAGCTTGCTCTCAACTTGATTTGCTGTGGTAAATGAAATATAGTTGGGGATTACCTCGTTTGTTTTTCTCTTGACTGATTTCATAGGGATGTTCTTTTTCTTTATGTTTATATTAGAGTTCTCGGCACTTGCAACACAATTAATTAGGTCATATAGGTGTCGAAGATTAGAGGTATTACAAGAGTGTAAGAAATGCAAAAAGAAGGAGGAGAGATTATGACGATAGATGTTTGATAGGAAAGAAGGAGCAAACCACACCAGAGCACCCACCAACCACGCAGAAGAGATATTCTACAGTTAGTGATGTACATTTAAGGGCTATTGTCCTGATACTTTTTCCTAGCGTTGGACTTATTTTGTTTTTCATTTGACTAATTCAATGACAATTTTTCAACAAGCCAAACCAGCGTCTGTGGCGTTAGCCGTTAGACACTTCGCCGTCGCATGCTGGAGACTCAAGTTCGATTCCCGAGCTGGGAGAAATTTCTGTCGATTCTATCGGTCTTTCTGCCGCGATGTTGTTTCCCTCTCCGCCGGGGTTGTCAGAAAAATCGAAATCCCGCTTCCTTAATGATCCAAATTGTGTCAATGGGGGCGTGAAAAAACATAATTAATTTTTTAAAACCAAGGCATGAAAACATTATTACACAAGGGGCATAACCTATATAAAACACTAAGGTATCTACGAAAATATTTCTCTATGATGGCTCCCCTTTGAATCCAACGTTTTATTATTTATTTTGAGGCATCGCGGTGAAATCAGGTGCGCGTCAAAATAACGAAATTAAAGAAACCGACATTGTTTCAACAGTTTGTCAATTTCTATCGATTTTTACTTGCTCAGCACTTTTTATGCTTATGTAACAACACATTTCCATGTGATTTTTGCTGAAAAACGTTGATCAAAAGCAAAAAAAATATAAATAATAATATTCAGTTTCCAAAAACTCTCAAGCTTTGAAAGTCACCAAATTTGGGAGTTTCTAGCTAACTTTACCTCTGAAACCAGGCGAACCACACTTCCTTCAATCGCAAACAACTCGACTTTTATTCAAGATAGATGAATACTTTCGTCATCAAACGTAAGAAAAATGAACAAGCTTTAGGATTATATAAATAACTCCACACGCCTTAAAACTGACGAGCACCTGATTCTGCCGCGTCGTGACACAAATAATTTGGGTCAGTGAAGGTCGACAACCGAAACTTAAAACTCATGCTTGACGTATCGATTTGTGAGTGACGGAGAGGTGGAAAGTTATTTACTATCTTTGCCTCTACACAACATACGCCGATTTCGAGTAACTGTGTATGTTAACAAACACAAGACGTATTATCTATTCGGAGACGTCTCCTACGGAGGTAGACCAATCAAAATGCTTTGTGCCTCTAGAACAAGGGATCAACCTACCTTATCTTTTCACTACGTGCAGTCAAACGATCATCCAGGCGGGAAAATGCAGATAGACATATCGGAATCCCATCATTGGTGCGTATAAGGGTCACTGCGCAAAACCACTAGGGAAATTTTTAATGTCTTTTCCAACAGTAGTAATAGATAGCATTTCAGTTGAGCAAATCCCCGCCAAACAGCAAACTCTACGCACTTTGCAACCTATATATTATTATATAATACCCCAAGCAGACCTGATTGCTGACTAAAACAATCTCGTCTTCCCGGGACGCATACAGTGCAAATAAAACATGATAATACGACAGCCCTGGTAAAAACCCACGAGATCGGATGTTTTGATGGATGAGTAGATAGAGCAGGCGACCGGATGGAGACCCTCACTAGCCCGGAACCAGGCTAAGGACCCGCCGTTGACGACTCGCGATTTCGACAAACCGCAAATTTCCAAATTATGTAATGTAACAATATATTATGTAATCGTTTCTTAGATGTGACTTAAGTGTCGCTTTTTAAAGGGAAGAGGGGGGGGGGGGGGGGGGTTTGCGGGTTTTTTTGTTTGTTTGGTTTGTTTTTGTGTTTTGCTTTGGTCAGAATGGTATACAATCATGCAAACGCTGTGAAATCAGAAAATATTTTTCGAAATCTAAAACTTAAAATCTGTTTCTGTCTGTTACAACAAAATCTGTAAGGCAACTTAATACAAGGGAAAGTGAAAAGGTTAAATTAACAAGTCCTTGCGATGAATCATCAACGCACAGTATCTATCTGGGGACGTCTCCGACAGAAATAGACCCCCCAAAATGCTTTGTGCCTCTGGACCAAGTAAAATAAATCGGGG